CCCCCCCCCATATGATCTTAAGGCTAGGTTCAGATCTGAGCGATCCCAGGTCTGCATGTCCCAGGACTGCGTGATCGTGTGCGGGTGATTTCAATGGTATTACATCCGTGCGGCAATCCCTGAAAAAAGGTATATGTACCTTTTTTTGCGACACACAGCTCTTTTTAGCTGCATTCGTGTTCAATTGCACGAGCGGAATCGCAAATTGAAACCGTGCGATCCACCCGGCTCAACTGGGGTGCCATTAGGAAATAATGCCACCGCCAGCGCGATTGACTGTGGTGGGCGACTCCGTGACTGCTCGGCAAGCCGTGCGGTTACGGATCGCGCAGGTGTGAACCTAGCCTAAACGCTAAGCATTGGATCTATAGGTACTGACTGCAGTTTTGTGTTCCTGCTGTTTATACTCTCTCACATTTCTTCAACCTGCTCAGGTTCTCCCACTTTCAGTAATATCTGACATTTTAGCTAGTGTGCAGCTAATGATAAGGATAAAATATATTTCACTTTGCAGCATATTCTTTACAAGCATTTGATAGACTTGTGCAATCACAAACACAGTTAAAATTAATACATTAATGGCTACAGGAAAGGTCATTAGTGCACTAAGTGTAGAAATCATGCAAATAGTACACAGAATTTAATCAGTTCACATACGGGATCTTGCAAATGGAGGATAAGTTAAAAGGACACTATCTCCACTTTGATGTTTTTTTGACAGGTTCACATTAATGGTACACAGTTATTTGTTTTGCTGAATTATTATTTTGCTGAGATGCAGCGCATTTTAAATAACTGCATTGTGTGTGTTAGTGTACATTAAGCAGGCCCATTAAAATTAATGGTAAACACAAGTGCATCATTCATTTTTGGCACCATGGAAGCTTTATATTAATGCATGTAAGTGCACGTAAACTGGTATACAGCAATATTTGTTAAAACTCCTCTTACAATTTGCATATAGATGTGAAAAAGCCCCAAAGATGTACTTTATTTGAGGGAAATGGGCTTTCACTGCTTCCTCCAAGCTTGGCTCCACCAACTACTACCTACCAATGCTGCCTATAAAATGATGGACAGTCTCATTCAATATGGAGGCTCAGCTGGTACAAAGGGTTTGCTTACAGCTCAACCTTTAGAGAATAAATCTAGCTTTGCATATAACTTGGGATGCCTATATCTCTGGATCTTCTGACATTTTTGACTGTATATTTGCAGTCAATGTATCCTTTTCTTTCGCATTTTGGCATCACATTTGAATTGCTTACATTTCTGAAAGACTTATTTTAACCAGTACTTAAAGTAACATTGTTACTGCAAAGGGGCCTCTCTGACCCCATCGCAGCTCCATCATAAGCAGTGCTGAAATCAATGATGTTGCTGACCCAGGAGTAAAGACATAAATTGCTTGGTCATATGACAACGCTCAGGTCTAGTGATTGGATGCTGGGCCAGGGCATTGTCACAGGGGAGCAACACTCACAACACGTATCAAACAATCTTCGACATGTATCTAAATCCAATTTTTTTATTTGAATAGAGTAGGGAAGGGTTAGAAGCTCTTCCACATTTAAAGTGCTGTTTGTGTCCCTGATGTGGAGCTTCACCCATTCTATTTGTTCTAGTAAACGTTGCTACTAATAATGACGGAAAATCTAATGTTCCGAGTTGTCACTGAAACAGAAAAATATGAGAAACCTTCCAATGGGGACACTTATTCCAGTGGCAACTGTCTAAGAGCAGATTCACCTTACCTTACCTCTTACTTTGAAGAGCTCTCCTCTCACTTTGTGTTTTGTCTCATGTGTCTCAAGATAGGAAGTGAAAGAAAAGCTCCCCAATGGCAAACAACAAAAAATAAATGAATAATAAAAAACTTAGCGGGTTTTAACCTTGCTTCAGTGCCACTTAAAGCCAGATGCTGTTTCTCCCCATCTTAATTTGGACATAGCTCGTAATTGCCTGTCTTTCTGTTTAAAACCAAATGTCCCTGGCCCTCTTCTTTTTCCAGTTATAATAATATACATTTGTATATTGCATAGCTACCAAACATGTTAAATGCATTGGTGTTGTCAAAGGCTAAATAAAATAAAAAATTAGTGCTTTAATGGGTTTAATTGACCTTTTTTTGGTGCATGAATTCACTATGGATTAAGTGATCCACTACTAAAAAGTGTCCCTCTTTCTCATTTCGGGACATATATTAGTGGGGATTAAGCATCCCCCTCCCCTGCAATAGTAGCTGCCTGTGCAACCTATTAACAGGTATTGCCATGTGGGGTAAATATGTAAGAATATCTATATATTTACCCTTTAATATAAGTAATAAAAAGTTTTACCAAGTTAGCTGGTGGAACTGTACTTACTCCAGCAGCAATAGGTGAGCATACCTTCCAACTTTCTAAGATAAGAAAGAGAGACGCCTTTTAGTACGTAGACAAAGAGGAACCCACCCCTGCCTTAAACCTACCGTACTTATGCAGACCAGGAAGAAATATGCAAAAAGTGACTGGTTAAATCTATAAGTGTTTTTTTCAATCACTGCTTTTTCTTTATACTGGATTTCAAAATAACAAATGGATGGATGAAATGTTTTGTGGACTATAAGACTTTTGGTTGTTAAATAGCGCATTTTTACAAAAGTCTATACATCAGGCCACAAAGAGCAGGACATGAAGGACATTTGGCAGCTAAAGGTATGTGTTAATCCATTTCATCCGCCTGCTGCTGTTGCAAATAGCATTACAAATTTGTCTTATCCACGGGTTCACTTTTATTTATTGCGCAATCTTTCTACCACTCACTGTACATAAGGGGGTCATACTGTATCTAAATATGTCTAATGTATCATGTAATGAAATTCAAATTTATAGAGTGTATGGTTATAAATGGTCTAATCATAAGAAGCAGCAAATGATCTATGAAAAAGTATTCAATGTTTTTAACATGCCTAGGGCCATGATCATCCTTAAAGCAGACCTTCACCCTTACTTTGAACTTTCTTTAATCCTCCCTCTCATTATTATTATACAGGATTTATGTAGTGTCAACAGTTTGCCCAGCGCTTTACAAACCAAAAGAAGAAGTACAATTGCAATACAAATTCATTACAAGAGTGTTAGGAGGGCACTGCTTGTCCATATTCATTTTTCTTTTTATAAATCCTTTTTGATGTACTTGTCCCCGCACTACCGCCTTTCTCACCTAGGTGAGAATGGCGTAGTCCATACTGCCCGCAGGCAGGATATCCGTATTCTAAAACTTAGGTGTCTTTAGGCAGCTCTGTTTTTTATCATCGCAAAGATTTGGTTTCAGCTGAGAGCGGCTATGCCATCAACTGCGCAGATTTACTCTGAGACCCAGAAGGAGTGAGAGAAGTGGATTACAAGTGCAACCTGCACGCCAGAGGGAAGAAGAGAAACTGAGCGCACAGGATCTTCTGGTGTGTCATGGTGTAGGGGTGGCAAAAATCTCCAAGAAGAAAGGGAGAGGTTATCCTCTGCCCCTAGAACAAATTACCCCGGGATCGAAAAAAGTATCAATGTATCCATGGATAAGAAAACCTGCAGTTAAGTATATATAACTTTTTAAATTGCCTTTTCCCAACCTTTTTAAAAGTTCCTTTATTTAAATTTAAAAGAACTGGGTGGAGTTCCTCTTTAATCCAGCTCTGGCCCTGACTAGCAGAAGGGAAAGCACATTGTTATGTGAGAGAAGAGCTGAGTAGGTGTTGCACATTAAGATCTACAATTACTACCATATCACTGGATGCACCATGCAAACATGGGAAAACAACTACAATGCTATGAATATATAAAACGCATTATAAAATATTTATTTGGATGATAGTGTCCCTTTAACGAGCAGGATAGTATGCATGAATATACTGTCAGCCAGGCTCTCTAGCTGGTTGTATATATACATAACAAGACAACATACACACATGCTTGGCATACAGATCATAGGGAAAGCATTGGTTGTTAGTAAACCTAGTATTTTTGTTGGGCGTGGATGGTTAGTTCGTTGTCCCACCATATCTCACCCTCAGAGCTATGATCCTGTTGAACCGATTTACAAGGCCTCTCTTCTATTACTTTTCCCAGGTTCCATCCATCTCTTTCCGGGTTTTATCCGAGAAAAATGTGCCCCAGCATCCCTTTGGATGTGCACACTTCCGCCCACTAGGTGGTGCTGCACATCTGACAATCATTTGCTCACTCTAAGCGTATCTAAACCCCAAAACAAAAATATTATTATTATTATATAGCGCCAACAGTTTGTGCAGCGCTTTACAATACATGGAAAGCATTACAGTTACAATAGTTACAATACAATTCAAAACAAGATGGTTAGGAGGACCCTCCCTGTGAGAACTTACAATCCAAAAGATGTAATATATAGCAGTTTACCAGTCCATAGATGAGTTGCTTACATTATTTTTTATATTATTTTTCCTTTAGTTTTACCTGTTGTTTCTGCTAGTAATACACTTCCTGTCCAAGTATAACAGCACACACTCACTGCATCGGGGTGACAGTACCGGTAAAGGGATGTTGGGAACTCCCCTGTCCTCATAGATGGGCGGGGTCCTGTAGTCCTCAGAACAATGTAACAGATAACAGTGCACAGGCAGAGTGCACAGGAGGTTTTCAAGATTTCAAGATATTTTTTGCACTTATTAAACAGATATAACAAAACGCTTTCAATGGTATATTTACCAGAACAAAAGGGTTGTTACGCACATACATATACTGTACATAGGACTATAAAATAAATACATCTCACTGCCATGCCAAAAATGCTGCATGCACCTTTCTTTTGCTTTTTCATGCATTACACAGCCCATTCGAATGAATGAACTGCCCTAATGCAATGCACATTAGCGTGTGGCATAATGTATATAAAAGTCTATGCACTAATGCAATGCAACAGCATGAACAGAGCATAGTGTTGTGATTTACAACTGTGCCCCTTGCTTTGTGACTTCTGAAGCAAAGATCCCCCATTAGTTTTAATTAATGGGTAGAACAAATTGCCAGGAGAAAGAGCTCCTTTGAACTTCCTCTATAGGCACTTTCACCCAATCAGCTGCGGGTCAAGCATTCCCCACCCCACAGCTGCAAGTAAACAAAGGAGAGAGATGCTTGTGCTGACATCATTTACCTCATATGGCCACATTATGTAAATGTAATTCACTAAAAATAGGCATGCAGCCATATAAGGTCTACAATGTCACTGCATCCTGTCCCTTTGCTTACATCAAGCTGCAGGCAGGGAATGCCTCTGGGGAAGGAGACTCAGACTGCCGAAGCTGAGGGGGAGAAAAGGTTGCCTGGACTGATCTAGTAGCCCCACTGTAAGGGTTAAATCTTATTCTGCCCAGAGTTGTTTTTTAAGGTATTATTAACGTTATAAGTTGACTATTAGGGGATTAATAACCAACTAAGGTGCAATAGGTTTTTACTGTGAGAAGGGTACAAATGTGGAATTCACTTTTGCAGATAGTTGTATCAGCAGAAAGCAATGGCAGCTTCAAAAAACACTTACAGAGTTATTCACAAAAAGGGTGAAGAGTTTGGAGAAGGTAGGAGAAGGGAACAATCTAGGCCAAAATAGCTGAACTGGAAAGTGAGCTGATTTGGAGACATTTGTACAAATCTTCTTTTTTGTCCTAGACTGTTCACTTCTCCTGCCTTCTCTACACTTTTGTGAATAACCCTGTTAGATGAGTTCCTCAGTTTACAGAATATACAGGTTATGGAAATTGCTAGCAAGACACACACAAACACACACACACTATATAGCTTAAACGTGATGCACCTGCTTCTTCATTCAACCTTATTTAATATATGCAACTACATTTTTATGAAAGGTACAACATGCACAACAGCAGTTAACATTGAACAGTGGCTGGCAAGGATATGAAAAGAAAATGCACAGCTAAAGGAATGCTGGAGATGCCATCTTTTGTAAAATATCGCCGTTACACGCTTTCACTTCCGGACTGGCGTAAAGATCATAGAGTGCATAGATTAAATAGTAGAGCGGCTTTTGAGCATATGGCTGAGTATCTGGGAAACAGCAAGCCAATGGGTTTGATTTACTAAAGGAATAGAGAATTTTTACTTTGCAAAGCAAATGTTTATTTAGTTTGGTGATTAAAGGGTTTCTAAACCCTCCGCTTTTTTTTTTCATATCTCTATAGGTTGAACTTGATGGACATGTGTCTTTTTTCAACCTGACTAACTATGTAACTATGTAACTTGATCATGATTGGGTATTCATAGTGAGCGACACTTTACCATATTCACTTTGCTAAGGGAACAATCTTGACTTCTTAATAAACTCCAAACACTCTACACCAGGGGTCTCAAACTCAATTCACTTGGGGGCCACTGGACAAATTTTCTTCTCCCATGGGGCCCGCTTGCCAAATTTCATAAAATGTCATACTTCAAAATAAAATGTAACTATATACGGCACCAGTGTTAATGTCTGCGTGTGTTTATAATGTCAGTATACATGTTTGTGATGGTTTGTGTGTGTGTATTGTCAGGATTTCTATGAGTGATGTTGGTTGGTATGTGTGTTAATGTTTCTGTAAGTGTAATATCAGTATATATACATGTGTATATGTGTGCAGTCTCAGCATATGTGTTGTTTTTCCTACAGTTTTTAATTTTAATTATAGAGGACCAATAGATTCACACATTCTCTTACAGACAGAAATATGCACACATACAAATTCGCACAAACGCAGAAATACTCCCCAACCAGAAATACACTCCCTAATACACACACAGGCCCCACTCACACTTGTAAGTTTAGGTGCGATTAGGGATTCCTGCATCAAGAATTTGTGTTTTCCCAGGAATCCCAAATCTGCTGTTTACAAGAGGCAGCTGTCACCCATTCAAGTTAATGATCAGATAACAGCCGCTACATGGAAACGCCGACACATCGCATGTAATCATCATATGTGATATGGATACATGAGGTTAGGAATCTATCTACAATGTATCCAGGGATAGTGATTGTTTTCTAACTACCAGTAATCATATCACATGCGGTGTGCAGACGTTTACATGCAGCGGCTTCCATTTGATCATTAACTTGAAAAAGTGACAGCTACACTTGTAAACAGCAGATTTAGGATTCCTGCTGCAAGAAAATGATAATTCCTGATGTAGAAATCCCTGATCGCACCCACACACACAGAAATACACACATACACTTACACAATAATGCAGCCACCCCAAACACATACATGCAAAGCCCCCCCACACACACAAAATAAAAAAAAGAGCCACCTGACCTGCTTAGATTCTTGCAGGGAGGGGACAAGGAGGGGTCGAGGAGGCACAATGCCTGGGGACCTAGTGGTTGATTAGTAAAGCGTGCACCTTTGGCTGTTGCAGACCTTACTAATTTACCATTTCGACCAGAGCTCCGGCTGAAAGAAACTAGTGAGTGCCAGCGTTCTGTGAATTGTCTGGACCTGTTAGATTTCTGGACTTCCAGGGGTGTGTGAAGGGCTTGGGCTATTCGCGCAAACTCAGAGCAGTTGAAATCGCACAGGCAATTTCGCATGTGCGGGTCCAGAAATTATACAGCTGCTATCACCGACCACAGTACAGCAAAATTACTGGATGCGCGGTCCAGATTTCTCACGAAGTCCGGGATTGTATTAGGACACCAGTGCTAACAGGAGCAGCTATGTGTTCTGCATCTGACAGAGATGCAGTCCGTGTAGCTGCTCCCACAAGTCAGGAATGCGGTACTTGTCAGCTGGCTGCGAGCCTTAAGTTACCAGATCGGTAAATGGTCACTCGCACTCCAACTTGATGCAAAGTCAATACCTTTCATTGACTGGGATAGTGTCACATTTATAGCGACGTTTCGGAACCAAGTGGCTCCTTCTTCAGGCAAACATAAAGTAAACACCAACAGAGTAAGTGCACCTATATACACAACAGTGATAGCCATTAAACCAATCATAAAAGATCATACCACCCCCTCTGACACCCTGCTGACATCACATTCCCACCATTCAGGTGTAAACATAATACCACAAACGAGACCAGATCTTCCATAGATTACTGTTAAAAGTACAATCAAAATACCTTAACAGGCTGTGAGGATATGGTTTGTGCAGCACTCCATAAGAATGCCATGATCCAAGTGCGGAGGACGGGAACACAATAGTCACACCGCCCAGCGGCTTACTCCGCCCCCAACAACAATCAATGTGAAGGAGAGGGGCATCCCCAATGTCATGGCGATCGCCCTCCAATCACTGTGGAGTGACGGCTGGCTCAGCAGATGCGTGCGCACTAACCACTTGGGTCAGCGCACGCCTCCTAACAGCTCATTCATTGCCCCTAACTCACATGGGGGATCTACACCGGACCAATCCCTGGCATTCCTATGTTGCCTGCAAAAGCTCTATGAGTGTGGGAAATGTTTTACACTGACATTGTGTGCGCTAACACACAGATCCACTAGATACTATAAGTGACAAGGAGAGAATGTACAAACGTTTCAAGACACAGCACAGAAACATATTAAGGCAAGGGAACACAATCCTCGATTTGCTTTATCAATAAGGTGCATACCATAGATTCTGTGCATATGCGTATATGCGTACATACATACACACGTACATACAACTATACAACTATATATACACATGTGTGTACATACGCATACACACTGAAGCACGCATAATGCACCACCATAAATTATGCTGTATAGAAGCCCATAAGATGACGTCTCTATTAGTTTCAGGTACCTTTGTGGCAGTGTAGATGTTATTAGCGTCATGAAGAGGGGAGAAAACGTGAAAAAAGACCCAAACCAATAAAAACCCATGCATGCTCTGAATAATTAATTCAGCTGGCCACTCCCGGGTGTTTCCTTGTATATATATTGGTGTATAAGGAGGATATATCCATAGTGACAAGCAGCCACCCAGTCCCTATAGTGGTATATTCAGCAAGTTTGTCAAGGAAGTCCCCCTTATTCTTAATAAATGTAGGTAATTTCCTGACTAATGGTTGCAGAAAGAAGTCCACTACTTGTGTTAACAGTTCTGTAATGGAGCCCATGCCAGATACA